CACTACGGCACCCGCAGTTCCGCCCTCTTCCCGAACAACAGCGCCGGTCGGTGTGTGAGCAGCTGGGCAAAGTTTGTGTGTGGACATGGGCACACACCTAAGAGCAGGAATGCTGGGCGTTGTAGGTTCAAATCTACATTGTGCTTTCTAAGCAGCTGCCGAGGGTTCAATGCCACTTGTGTCCTGACCCTCCAAGCCCCACATTACCTCAGGTGCCCACTGTGGGTCTGTCTTAGGGCCTTTTCTATGACTCTGCAAAGCTGATAACAATTTGCATCTGCGCCTTCATGGGGGACGCCCTACTGTGCGACCCGCCCTAAAGGACAGATTGCACGGTTTTCTGATGAGGGGAAATGAGACAGGGCAGTGGTGTGATGCTGGTTTGGGGGGGGTCTCCCACTAACTACTCTTGGGACCCAGTTTGAATTCTTCCTTCAAGGGGCACAGAAGGGCAGGTGCCGTTCACAGCTCACCTGAGGGAGAGGCAGCACCTGGGCGGCCGGGGGAGCAGGTTCTGGCCGCTGGCTGTGCAGGTGCCTCGCACGGAGGTAACCAGATGCTCTCACTCAGGGACTTTGCATCCCAAGAAGGGCTGGCTTTAGGGCTGAGAGCCTGCACAGAACTGTCCACCCGATGTAGGCCGGTGCTGGGGGACTCCCTGCTGGCCCGGCAGGACCGTGCATTGTGCAGGACACCAGCGGAGAAGCGGAGAATCACCGGTCACCACGCTGGCCCACGGAGAGAGCCCTCCACAACAGCTCTTGGTGCCGTTTCCTGGCGGTGAGTTGGGGATACTGAGGACCAGAAGGGAAGAGGGCGCTGCCTCGGGCACAGAGAGGGGGTCACCTTCCAAGATATTTCCCCAGTTGGCAGGCCTCTCAAACAGGCTTAAGGAGAGGCTTGCTCTTGCTGAAATACAACGGTGCCGCTGAGGCGGGCATGGATTCTGTGTGTGGCCTGAGCCGGCGCGGGGAGGACACCTTCCCCTGCAGGACTCCCGCCCCCAGGCAGGGCCCACAGGGGGGGTCCAGGCCAGGAAAGCGGTGATGGACCAGTGCCGGGGAAGTGTGCGCTTTCTCCCTGTGGTTTAAGATCGTCATGTGGGGACCAGTGAAGGTTTGTGGGTGCCTTCCAGCTCGAGTGGTGAGCACCACCGCGGAACTAAGTGGGGGACGTCACCTCACTGGGCCTCAGTGTCCTCGGGAGGAGTTCGAGGACACTGGGAGGACTCTCAGGCCCTGCAGGCAGGGACTGGGACGCAGCGAGCACAAAGCAAGGGCGCGGGGACCCAGGCTGATCAATACCAAGTGCCTCTCACCTCACCCGTCCGCCCCTTGACAAATGTGCAGATGACCTACTTAGGCAGAAACGTATTTTGCAGTTTTTAAGCGATTGGCATATGTGAACACTTTATACTAATTAACAGTGTTTTCCCCGAGTTTTTGGTATGCCGGCAACAGTCTGTTTGCCACTTGTCTCTAGGTGAGCGTTTTTCCGAAGGCAGCTGGGGGGCGGGGGCGGTTCCTGGGCTGCACACAGTGGCGGGTCCATCCTGGGCCTCCCGCGGAGCCGCCAGATGCTGGCTCTCTGGCCCCTTTGGGGTCCTCACCCCTGCTTGGCTGGATTCCGCGGAGGTCGTGTCCTCCTGTTGGGTGCCCCTGTGCCTGCGTTCTGGGCTCAGTGAGAAATCTGAGGCTGACTAGCAGGGGGTGCTCCACCCCCAAGTCTTCCCTCAGGCCCAGCCAGTGCTGGCTTCTCTGTGCAGCCGCTCAGCTGAGCCCCCCAGCCCCGGGCCCTCTCCTGTGGGGGGCACGGCCCAGGCCCCAGCTGCACTCCCGGGTCACAGGGACTGAGAAGCATTGAACTTCACCTGCTTGGTGATATGCAAAGACCCCAAGAGGTGAGCTGGGGAGAAAGCCAAGCGTTTGTGGGAAGTCCCAAGACCGAGAATTAACCGTAACGGCAGCAGAAAAAGGAGGCAGATTGCCTTCAGGGAGCTTACATACACACAACTAGGAAGCCCGGGCCAGCCCCAGGAAAGCTCATGCACAGGGGGAAGAACGAGTCCGAGCAGAACGCGGTAGCCCGTGCGCATGCGCCAGAGTCATTAACCAGACGGGGAAATGAATCCGCGTGCAGACCCAGGACAATGGGGAGAATCTGACACCATCAGACTAAGGGTTGAAGGGTGTGATCCGCTCACTGGAATTTCTGTGGCAACAGTGAACGTTGGCCGATGGCTGGGTTCCCTTTCAGTTCCTTTCCCACTTTCAAATGGAATGTGTTTCACCCCCCGTACAGCACGGACTCAGTCTACAGAGAAGCCCGTGTTCTTCCCGTGAGTGAAATGCCTAGTCTGACTTCACTAAGACTCATGCACCCAGACCTTGAAGATGCGCCGTTTTACGTGACTTTGCGTTACAGGGATTCCCCATCCCTTTGACGAGGTTCTCTAATAATGAAAGGTACACGGCTGTTTCCCAGGGCGTCACGTATGTCAGGAGACTGGGCAGTGTGAGGGTTCTTCACTTGATCTTGACGATTTTCGTCACCTAGGGAAACACAGTGTTAGCCTTTTGGTAGGTGATTGGAGAGGCTTTATAAAAACGCTTGCTTTATCCTCAGTGTTTTGGGCGCCCACGTGGCCCCTGGGACTCGTGGCTTCTTGCAGGGAGGCAAAGCAATACCTAGATACGGTGCTCAGTAGTGAGGGGAGAGAGCGGCCGCTTTCCATGGCCTTTGTCATGGGCGGCCACCATGGTGGGGACAGGCAGGAAACGAGGGGCCGCTACTCCGTTCTCCAGAAACACGGGAGGCCCGGAGGTGCACAGAGAGCTTGTGCTCACTCCATGAGCCACCGAATGAAACTGGGTGACCCAGCCGCCTGCCCCCAAGTCCGCACATGTGTGTGACCCTGGTCGCAGGGACCTGAGGTGGGCCCTGCCGCTGAGAAAAAGACCCAGGGGCCAGCGCCCATGGGGTGATGAGTCCAGCTGACCCAGACGGGTACCCCAAGATCTATCCTGTCCGGATTTGTTCCAGTTCGGTTTGCTGTGAACCCTTCTGCTTAACTCTCCCATCCCGCAGGACAGAGTAAATAATGTTGCCCCCACTCTACCCTGCCCCCAGGACAAGACAAGCAGTATGGTCTATACTCTCCTGTCCCATGGGGCGGTGGAAGGTTCCGGGGGGCCTGTCAGACAGCAGACTAAGAAAGGGTCTCAGAATCACTCCATCCGGATGAGTTTTTCTGACGGGAAGGGCTGGGACCCCTGGAAACCTCCCACGATGCACGAAGGGGCCACAGAGCCAGTGTTTTTGTGAACACGATGCAGCCGATGAAAGCATGTCAGGAGAAACCGCAGGGCTCCGGGGCGCGCTGCGGGTCAGCTCTCAGACACCGTGGGTGCCCTTCCACGCGCGGAGATCCCTTGTAAACCAATCACCTGCCATCAGCCACACGGCTGGAGGAGGAGGCAGGAGGGGAGAATAACTGCTGCTGGATACGTGGCTCGTGGGGTAGTGAGTGTGCTCGTTTGTACATGACTACAATCTATTCCTTCCGGGGGGTCTGACCTGCGGCCCGGGGGGCTGGGAATGCGGCCCAACACAGCGTCGTGCATTTACTGGAGACGTGATGAGATTTCTTGTGTGTGACTCTGTGTTGCCATGCATGGGGTGCGTCCGAGAGAGGTCTCCTTGAAGGGTGGTGCAGAGACACCGAGAGGCTGGACGCCCCTGCTCCGGCTCTGCGAAGTCCCTCTCACCCGTGTTTCACCGGGGAGGAAGCTGGCTGGGGCGGACGGGGTGCCTGGGGTAGGAGCAGAGCCGGGGTCGCCGTGGGAGTCCGTGTCACTGGAGATGCTCTGTCCTTTCACAGTTCACCGTCCCTTCCAGGGCGAGCATCGAGACAGGCACTGGCAAGGTTGCTGGGGGCGGGCCTGCTCCACAGCTACGGGGTTTGGACTCTGTCTGGGCAGCGCAGACTCTGTCTGGCAGAGCAGTCACTAGAAAGAGGGACAGCGCCCTACGCTTGGTCATAAAGCTCGTTGTCACGGGCGAGTTCGTCTTCCAGGTTGGGAGACAGCACTGAGAACTGGCACTGTGGTCAGAAACCCGAGCGTGGACAGTGAGTACCGCGGGATAGCGGGAAGAGGCCCGTGCTGGTGAACGCGGTGGTTCTCTCGAGGGCAAAGCACATGTCTCTGGGACATTGTTATGCGGTCGCTCAGCCTGGACGGAGGAGCTCCGAGGTGAGAGATGCCCGCTGGGCAGTACATGAGCGCGTGTGAGGGATGTCGCACTCAGGGGGCACCGAGGACAGAAAGACAGGGCCACCTCCGCAGGTGGCCGGCAATCCCAGGAACACTCCTGAGGGTGTGCAACGCACGAGCACAGTGAGATGCCGGGCCCACCCAGCACCACTGCCCTGCTGGTGTGAACCCCTGCCCGCCCCTCAGAGCACACACAGGGCGGCAGCTGATCTTTGACCTCTCCCGGCCAGAGTCCCTGTGGTGCGGACTGTGCATTCCGCCTCCGGGAAACCTGTGGGTGACTCTGCACAACAACAGCTCTCACATCGGGTGACGAGGCCCGCCTGGCGTGAGGGAGTAAGAACACACGTGCGTGCCTTCAGCAAGCGGCAGAATGTGTCCTGGGTCGAACAAGGCGGAGTTTAGCTGCAGATGGTTCAAATGACAAAAAACACCAGGGCCGTCCCACTCAAGATTGCAAATACCCCAGAGAATACTTGGGCTGACCTGGGGCCTACATCTCGCAGAGGGGCACAGAGCCGCTCTGTCTTATTTATGTGAGATGGCTGAAGGATGAGAAAACCTTGGGGCAAATGTTTCCGATGAAGCAGATCCCGGGTCAGAGGAGGGGCCGTTTCCCGGAGGGGCCTTAGTTCCAGGCAAAGACGCCAGGTCTCATGTAAACACGTAGATCCCATTTCAGGGTGAGCACAGTTTGAGGGGCTTTTAAAAAAAAAGGTCAACTAGTCGCACGTAGGTTTTTCATTTATTAGAGGATCATTTTTAAGGCAAAAATCATACTTCCATACAAATATAACGTGAACAAACGTCAAACATTGTATTCAAGTAAAATGACCCACTGAGGGAAGCAGCCGGACGTGAGGAGGGGTCGGCGGGGAGGGGTCCCAGGCGCAGGCTGCAAGAGCGGGAGTCAGCGTTGGTGGAGCCTGGCAAAGCTGGCCCGCGGCACAGGCCCCGTGGAGAGGCGCCCTTCCCCCGGCCGTCACATGCACGACCCCGGCCTTTCTGCACCCTGCAGAGCAGGAAAGCAGCCCCGTGACAAGGACAGAGACGGTGTGGAAGGGGGCGAGGGCAGGCACAGCCCTGAGGTGGGGGTTCTCCCTTTCATCGCAGGAGAGTAGGCATTAGAGAGGGGTTCACGGCCAGGGCCTCAGGGCTGCTACGTGAGCAGTGTGGCTCCAGGTCACACCTGGCGTCGAAGCCTACGGCCCCCCAGCACGGGCCACAAACAGAACCGCCCCTGAAGGGGGCGGGCGGTCCGGGCTGCGCTGAGCCCGCATGGAGAATGGCGGGAGGCAGCCTCTGAACACAGGTGCAGCCGGGGCTCTGAGGACACCCCAGGAGAGGACTTCCCAACGACGGGAGTGGTTTCCCAGGGGCCCGTGCGTGCCATGCTCTCCCTGCGCGGAGGAGGAACCAAGCAGCGTTGCCCCTCGGGTCAGAAACCAAACAGAATGGCCCCTGGGATTACAAAGCGAAGAGAACTGCCCCTGGGACAAGAAAGCGACATAAGTGGCCCTCAGTGCGGTCGGCAGCCACAGCACGAGGGACAGGGCTGGGGGCAGCAGTGCAGAATGTGTGCACACACACACCTGCACACATGTGCACTGAAGAACACAGACATGTACATGAGCGCTTCACACACACGTCAGGGTGTGGGGGACGGTACGCATGGCCATCATGTCTCGCTGTCTCCATGTACGGGAATGTGGTTTGGTGTGTGCACATACACGCACCATACATGCATGTGCAGTTGCGTGTAAGCGTGTATGTGCGTACGTGCGTTCAGTGCACGTGACCCTTGCAGCACCCCCGGAGCGCAAGCACGCGGTGACTGCCCCACGGGAAGTGCGGGGCTCTGCTCCCGCCGGTCTGCAGGCGCAGTGAGGGTCATTAGCATGGTGGGAGGGGCGTTCACAAGTCCGCCTTCCTCTGTGGCTGCAGGGGCAGTGTGGCCGGCACAGTGGGCGGGGCGGGCAGTGGGCGGGGCAGTGGGCGTGCCCGCAGACGCAGGGCTGGAGCCCCTCACTCGTAGAGCGGCAGCCCGAAGAGATCGGGCTGGAAGTCCAGCAGGGAGCCCAGCACCAGGGTGGCCTTGGCCGTGAGGTCTTGCTGCAAGTTTTTGTCGGGCACCATCACCACCTGCATCCCGGCTGCCAGGGCCGCCTCCACCCCGTTGGGAGCGTCTTCGAAGACGAGGCACTGCAGGGCGGGGAGAGAGAGAAGGTTCAGACGGCCTGTGCCCACGCAGACCCCACAGCAGCCCTCAGACCTCAGTGCTGCGGTGGGGGCGGGAGCAGACGGGGCTTCCCGTTCAAGGCCGTGGCTGCGGCTGTGGCTGCTGTGAGCAGGGCGCAGGCTCTTTCGCTGGAGGCTGCTCTTGTGCCGCAGGGAATGCATTAGCCACGGCAGCTGCAGCTGGGCAGGGCGGGCCCTCGGTTTAAAAATGTTACTGGAACCACAGATACCTCTGTGATCAATCGTGAAGCATCCGGAGCAGGATAGGAAACTGGGGGCGGGGACGTGCGGTGAGGGGCCCGCAGAGCTGACCCAGGAGGTCCCTGCAGGTGCTGGATTACAAAACCGAGTCTCCCGCACCACCAGTGCGCGCACGCAGGTACGCGCTCCCCTCCCTGTGACCGCGCTCCCCTCCCTGTGACCGTGGGAACCCGCCGTTTCCCTCGCGGAGGGTCACCCTATCCCAGCCGCGTCTGCAGTGCGCCATCTGTGCGCTGCACGGTCGGGGAGCCGAAGTGGGCACCCGGCGAACCCCGTGGCACTAGCTGTCACGGCGGGGCTGGAGACATAAAGCACATGGCGTGGCAGGCCGGGGTGTCCGCTCTGTGCCCCTCCCTGCCAGGCGAACGGCACTCGGAAACTGGTGCTGAGCCTCAGCACCCCCAGGACCCCCAGATCCCTGTGAAAGCAGCTTTCTAAGTGTCTTCAGTGGAGATGTGCAGGCAGACACCTGGGAGTGGGGGCCGGGGCCCTCCTGTCACCGCCAAGAGCGGCTCCCCGGTTCACGGCTGTGCTACAGGGACAGGAACTCAGGGCGCAGCACTGGGACCCTTCCACGGCGCCCCCCCCTCTCCTCCTGGCCCACCACGACCGCGCCCACACCTTTACGCCTTTCATCACAGCAACGTGCCCCCCATGTCGGGACCCAGAGTGGTAGCAGCCCCCCACACAGGCTGGTGACTGGAGAGGCTCAGGGCACTGGTGGCAGGTGCCCTCTGAGCCAGCAGCTCTGCCCTCCGATGCCTGCGGTCAGAGGGAGGATGCGGACGCACAGACCTCCTCTCTCTGTCTCACACTCATGCTCAGATTTTCCTGGAGGCTGCTGTCCCAGCTTTGAGCCGGCTGCCTCGGCGACGACCCGCTGGTTTCCATCTGACCTGGAAGTCGCTGCCCCAGAGCCGTCCTCAGTTCTCCAGGTGAGAGGCATCCCGCGCAGGATGGCGCCGTCCCTGGCTGTTTAACGTGACGACTCGACCTCATTCCAACGCCCCGACTGCTTCATTCCGGACCCTGGCTAAGCCCTTGAAGGTCCAAGGGCTTTTTTAGCGGGGAGGGCATCCCTCCTGCTCTCTGAGGGGTTGAAGTTTCAGCGTCCTGGTCCAGAGCGTCAGGGCGGGGGGAGGGGAGGGGTGCGTGCCAGCGTTCACAGCTCGCTGCAGGGCAGGGAGTGGCGTGCTGTCTTTCTGACACGTTCTGTCTCCTCGGGGTGGGCACGGCTCCTTGGCACCTCTGTTCCCCGCTCAGAGCCCGTCCCAGCAGCTCCAGCAGGGACAGTGCAGGTGCAGCCCGCACTCTGAGCTGGGGTGGTGGTGGTGAGCGCACAGGGCATGGTGGGTGGCAGGGGCGGCCCATGGAGTCCGGGAAGAGGGGATGCGCCCAGCTCAGCAGGATGGGGCCCGGGGACAGGCGTCCGTGGCTGTGCCTGTAGCCGGGGCTCTCCCACTACTAAGCAGGGAAACTGCTGGGCAGACAGGCCGCCTGGTTCGGGCTTCCTCTCGTAAGCCACCTGCCCGGCTAACGGCATGGACAGGTGGAGACGCTGGTGGCTCCAGCACAGGGAAGGAGCAGAGCCCCAGAGCGCAGGTGGCAGCCGAGCCCACGTCCCTCCTGCCTCTCACACGCCCATGCCCCCGGTGCCGGCAAACCGAGTTTTCACAACATCTGCGGGGCCTCTGCCCTTCACATCCGCACGTGAGAATTCGCCTGGGACGTGTGGAGACGCTGAGACAGAGTTTGCCCCCTTGCAACGTGAAGAGCGCAGCGCACGGCAGGAGCCGAGTGAACAGAGACAGGCAGGAACAGGGGCACGGCAGGGGGGTGAGGTTCACCGGGCAGGAGAGGCTGGGGTCGCGCCAGGCGCTGTCACGGACAGGGTGAAGCGCAGGCACGTGCAGGGCGGAAACCGACAGCAGACACCGGCTTGCCACCAAACGCCACCGTGCTGGGTCCCAGGGCCAGCAGCACCCCGCGAGTTGGGTGTGCTCGGGGTTCAAGGGCGGGTCTGCCCCCGTCCCTGGAAGCCGAGTTGCAGAGCAGGACTCTGGGTCCCTGGGGAAGTGTGTAGGGCAGCGTCTCCTGACCGCACACCTCTGGGGGTGCTGGGGCGGCGGAGGTCCCAGAGGCTGTGTGAACGCACACGGCAGGGCTGGCCCACGCGCAGCCAGAGGGTCAGTCTGTGTGCGTCCCCGAGAAAGCCTTCCCTACCCATCACAGCTCACTGAGCTGCTCGGCAGCAGCAAGACTGAGAAAGCAGGAAGTCTGTCCTCTCATGTGGACACGGACGCTCTGAGGACAGTTCCCCCCCCCCCCCGCACGCCCAGCCCGCGTGAAAAGCCTGTCTGCACGAACTCGGTCCCTCTGCGAACACCTCCCTGTTCCCGCAGGTTCAGGCCCTCGCTGCGCCCCTGGGTGCGTTCCGGCCGACTGGCCGGATGCTGGTGGGGCTCTGCACAGGCTCCCCCCTCGGCCCGCGGACCGCCGCTGCCAGCAGGTGGAAGCTGGACAGCTCAGGGCCTGAGGGTCCCCCACCCCGCTGCACCCCTCGCCCTGACAGGCAGGGGCAAGGCGGAGGCCACGAGCAGTAATGACTGCCTTCTGGCAGCAGCGCCCAGCATGCCAGGGCACACCCCCGACATCAGGGCAGTTCCTGGGGAGAACCTCATCTCCCAGCTGGGCTGCACCAGGAAGCATGGCTGCCGCGCCCCGCCAGGCGCCCTGGGACCCACAGGGCCTGGGATGCTGGCCGCTGAATGTGGGGAGCAGGCGGAAGGGTCCTCCTTGTACAGGACCTAACGTGACAGAGGCTGGGCAGAGTGCCCTAGCCCTGGGTCAGGGGTGGGCCCAGCCCTCTGAGTCACCTGGGCGGGATCTGAGCCAGAGACGTTCAGAGGTCAAGCCAAGGTCACCTGGGCAGGCAGGTGAGAAAGTTAGGAAGAGAGCCAGGGCCCTCAGAATCCAAGGTTCTTTTCACTCAACCAAGCTGCTGGCTAAAACGTATCTGAATTCCGTCTCCAGGAGAACAGATGAGCTTAATTAAACTGCAGCTGGAGGCCTTTAATTTAGAAAGAGTGGTGTCTCCGTCTCCCGGGGAAGGGGCGGCCCATCAGGGGTGCGGCTCCGGAGGGGCTGAGCTGCCCTCTCCGAAGATGCTGTGCGCGGCCTGTGTCCTCAGCTCTGTCCACCCTGGGCAGCGCATCACACCTGAGGAGGGAGAAGGGGGTTGGACGGGACCGCCCTCAAGGACCGCAGGACCGAGAAGTTCCGTGAAGGGGAAGCCGTGCGCGGCAGTGCAGGCAGGGAACCCACGTAGATGGGATAAGTATTCACTGGAGAAGCACAAGACAGCTGGGAAGATGGTACAGTGGACGCCGAGGCAAGCTGAGGCCGAAGCTTCTGATGCGGCAGGCGTTGGGGGCTCGACACAGCCCGTCCTAGACCGGTGTCACGGTGCCCAGGCACCCAGCCCGTCCCCCTGCAGGGCAGGCTCTGGGGCAGCCTGCCCTACCCCGTCCCGTCAGCGCCGGGCCTCCCACACATCAGCACAGCTCACAGCTCTCAGGACACGGGGGCCACACAGCTGAGGAGCTCTGGCACAGCTGCACAGTGACAAGGGACGGGCACCCTGCAGCCCTGCCCATCAGCCCCTCGGGGGCCTGTTCCCTCCCACGAGCCCTGGCCAGATGGAGCTGGCGTGGCGCGTGCTAACAGGTCCCAGCTTGCACACCATGGCGAGGGTCCAGCCGCCACACCGCGCTCCTGTGCAAACAGCCAAGGCTGCATCAGACGGGACCGCACCGCCTCTCGCCTGCGAAGACACAAACTGCACAGGAAGCCACTTCAGGTCCGCTCTGCAGATGCGGGCGTGCAGGGGTGCTGACCAAACCTGCTGGTTCACCACCACGCTCAGCTGAACTGGGCCACTGGAAACTCCTCCGCACGTCACTGCTTGCAACACATTTCATTCTACCCCCTAATTTTGTAACCACCCGGGGCCCTGTTCACAGTGCAACACCTGGCAACTTGGAGAAGCCCTGAAACTATGTTCCACTGCGTTTGGATCAACCGCTCTATCATCGAACGGTCAATTCCTCTGCATATTCTTTGCCACTGAATTGCCTACAACTAAGTAAGTACCACAACATTGGGATGTGGGCTGCGTATGCACTTTATCAGATTTTATGCAAGTAACAAACCTTTATGTAATGTTGCAGAAAAGGGTAACATTTACAAGTATTTTTTATTCCTTAGTATTTTTGTTTGTATTATTCATCTGTCCATCCAACTATCCACCCTTCCATCCACTCATCATCCATCCCCCCACCCACCCACACATCCACTTCTGTCTGTCTATCTTTTTCCCCCGGCTCTCCCGCTTCCCTATGCACTTGGCCACGTACCTACCCATGAAACAGACCCCGGCTGTGCTGTGGTCCCGTATGTAACACTGTCTGACTGTGAGCTCAATGTCTGTTGCACAGGGCAAAGCTACTGACTCACTGAACTAACACTCATCTGAAAATCAGAGTATAAACCCAGCACTGACAGAACCCTTCCCTTACAAGCTGATACATGGATGAACTAACTGTCCCACTGAATGGAATCCTGTTCCTTTGGAGAAAAAACTCGGAAGAACCTTACACATGGGTGCTCAGCTTCCTAGGAAATGCTGTCACCTCATTCATGAAAAATAAATTGTGAGGCGCGGTTGGTATCCCTTTTAAAGTGTATGCACATAAATTCGGTGCTGAGCCAAGGACTTCAAAGAGACCGGCAACACCTTTTTGTGATGTTCCCTCTGAGTGATATGGCCGGAGCCTGTGCCCGCCCGCCGGGCAGGGACCACTGACTGAGAAGCCCGGCAACACTCTCCAAAGCCCCGGGCACTTCGGAGAGTCAGAAAGCCAGGGTGCGCAGTTTGCAGACGGCCCACAGCGCCTGCGCACTGTTCTCCACTTCCTCTACGTGTCCAGGCAGTTGGGCAGAGTCACCTGGTCTTCCGGGGCCTTTCCCGTGGCGCCCTGACGCCACGTGGGACCTCAGGCCGCCAAGGGCTCCCCGTGGGAAGGGGCGGATGGCCGCCTCAGCCTGGGGGAGGTTACGTGCCTGCATGGGACAGGCAGGCGGACAGGGGTGGTGTACCCCACAAAGCTGCGTCAAGTCCTGTCCGCACTGGGACTGCCTGCGCAGACGGGGTGCTCAGGAACCCTGAGGGGGAAAGGTGGCCCTCACCCTACGGGATCCGTGTCCCTAGAAGACGAGGAAGAGATATCCCACTCCCTCGCCGTCCCCTCAGGCTCTGAGGAAGGCCAGTGCAGGACAAAGGAGCCAGGAGGGAGGCTGTCCCCAGAAAGTGCGCCCCGCCAGGGCCCTGAGTGTCAGACCTCGGGCTCCATTAGGTGTCAGGGATCAGGCTGCTCCTGGCAGGGGCGCACCGCCACCCGAGACTGCCAAGGCCCCACCCCTGCCTGCCCCTGAGAGAGCTGTGGAGGGCCTGTGGGGCATCCCGGACGCAGGGGGCCGTCCATGCCATCGCCCACCCCCCCCCCGCCCACGTCCTGTGCAGACAGGCTGACGTGCGGCCAGGATGCAGGCAGGGGCTGAAACTACTGACCAGCTCGTGAGCCCACAGGCAGGTGGGCGGGCTTTCTCAGGACAAACCTGTCCATGCCGTCACCAACGCGGGAGGTACGTGCAGCCCTCGGCCCCGGACGCCAGTCACTAGGGGCCCACGGACCTAGTTAACCGACGACCAGAGTATGGTCCTGACCTGGAGACCTTGGGGAGCCCAGGGCGGCAGCGGGAGGTCCCTGGCCCGGGCTTTGAGGGCCAGCACTGTGGGGCATTGCGGGGGCAGGGTGCATAAAAGGGGGGTAACCAGTGATGGATGCAGACGGGACTTGGGGCGGTGCACACACAGTGCAGCCGCGGAGGGTCAGAGGAAGCGACGCAGTGCAGCCGCAGGCCTCTCCCAATGCGCATGGCGCAGCCGCCAGTCTCCGACGACAGAAACTGCCTGTCGGGTCCCACACGTGGGCGGTGAAAAGTAGAGCCGGCGGCCGCTGGGCGGGGCCTGGCGAAGGGCACCGGGCGCCTGTGCAGGTGTGCGCCTGCGCGGGGTGTGGGTGCCTGCGGTGCCCGCAGAGCCGGAGCTTTGCACCAGGCAGAGGCGTGCAGACCGTGTCTGCAGGAACACGCTGCTGGTAGGTGGAGCCTCCCCGTGGGGATGGAGAGGGAAGACCCCCCTCCCCTGACTGCCTGAGCCGCAGTCCGCCTGCCTGAGGTCTCGGAGGGGCAGAGAAAGCGACAGTCGTGTCATGTGTGCGGCTGCTCCTAGTGCTCCCCGTGGCCGCGGTGGGCACCTGCGTGCTGTGAGCCGTTGGGGACCAGTGGGCCCAGTGCCAACTGCACTTTCCTGGTGGACGCACCGACGCTGACCTGCACCGAGTGCAGAAAACGGCATGGGGGGGGGGGTGGCACCTGAGGCGTGCAAAGCGTCTTAGCAAGGCGGAGGTTGTGGGGAAAGCCCTCGTTTCTGTGGGACTTGTGGTAGAACACCCCGCAGGCCCTGCCGGGGCGGAGGCGCCTCGGACGGGCACCACACACTCCGCGGGCCGCAGGGACCAGTGGCCGGGCCGCCTGGACTGTCCCTCCTCACGACACTGCTGGGCCCCACAGCCACCGCCCTCACACACACAGGGGACGCGGGAAGGCGGCCGGGGAGGGGGAGCGCAGGTCGCCGTGGGCAGAAGCTGAGTTCACAGGAGCTGCTGACGAGCCCTGTGGCTGAGGCGAGGGAGTCTGCACGACACACATGTGTGCTGCCGTGAACACCCACTTGCACGCCTGTGTTTACAGACAAGGGAAGCGGCCCGGCACTGACTGCGCGTGTGGGGGCGTGTCCAGTGAAAACCACAGTGCGTGCGTCGGGCGTGTGCCCGCCTCCCGGAAGACCTGGGGGTGTCCCTGCCCTGGTGACTTGGGCGCTGTGCTCCCCGCCATCTCACGTGAAGTCACCGTGCGCCTCCCACATGGGACTGCGGGCACCGTGCGTGGCCCCTACACCAGAGGGATCCCTAGACGTCCCGGCCCAGCCAACTCAGAACAACGCCCCCGCGGCCGGCTGCTCCCCCCACCACCACCACCGCGCTGTGCATACCTTGTGCGGGGGGGCAGGGGGGGAAAACCGCTTCGCGCAGGCCAGGAAGATGTCTGGGCTCGGCTTGCCGTTCTTCACTTCAGGGTCGTCCCCTAGGACGATGTGGTCGAACAAGCCGAACAACTCCTTGTGCTTGCGGGTCTTCATCTCGAAGGACACGGTCCCGGAGCTGGTGGCCACGGCCATGGGCACGCGGTGCTTGTGCAGATGGCGGATCAGTTTCTCCACCCCTGGGGAGGAGGAGGGCAGGGCTCAGGGAGGCCGGCAGGCAAGGCCACGGCCCAGACCCCGGGCACACGGCTCCCTCTGCTGGGCTGGTCTGATCCGACACACCGGGCCTGTTGTGTACACAGGGTCGTGACCTCACAACAGAACTCTGAGTCGCCCTCGGACCTCAGCATTTCCCAGAGGGACCGACCTCGATGCTCCTGCAAAGGAACGATGCTGGGCCTGCGGAACCTCTGCTGTGCAAATGTGCCCGCCAGGCTTGGGGGCTGCGGGAAAGGGGTGACCCACAGTGGGCCCTGGGGACCAGCGGGGTGTCTGAGGCTGAGAACGTACTTCCGGTGTTTTCCACAAAATGTGTTCTTCCGCAGAAAGCACTTTGACCCGCGTATAGGGTGGTGAGAAGCACCCAGAGGCACCCAAACTGACCGGTGCAAGACCTGTTTGGGGCAGTGGGGAAAACGTCTCAGTCTGTGCACTGCCTCCGAAGAAGAGGACTTTCCAGGTGACAGAAGCTTGGACGTGTAAGAGTAACGACACAACTTCTAATAAATCCCAGTCGTTTGGGGTCCCCCCGAAACATCATTAAAAACTGCGATGGGCACTCACACAATTTTAAACCCAAAGTTACAGCTGGAACTGCGCATTTCTTCTCCCCCTCACCAGGGTTTCGAAAGGCTGAGCGTTCACCTTTCTTCCTGAAAGCATCTGAAACTAAGTCGTACTGCATCTTTAAGCACCTGTTGGCCTTGGAATCTAGAACACCCTCGGTCTTGCACTTTGAGGGAGAAACTTGGGGCTGTTCTGATGGATCTGCAGTTCGCAAGTACCCAGAGAGAAAAGTCACCTTTCCCTTCCATGGAAAACAGGTGGAGAGAGGAAGGGTCTAAGACACGTGACAGGTGAACTATGCTGTGTCTTTAACCTTTTTTTTTTTTTTTTAATTCAGCTTGTTTGGAGAGATTTAGCTGCTTGTGTACCATCAATTTGTTCAAATTTCAGGGGCAGCTGGAATATTACTACTGTACCTGATTTTTTAAAAGAAAAGAGACAAAGGCATGTATGTATTCGGGTGCAATTCTGAAGCAATTTTGTCATGAATGCGGTGTTTATATGACACAGGCACAAACAAAACCCTGATGGGTTTGAACCCCGGGGCTCAGCGAAAAGAATGAGTATTATTTTAAGGTACCCTGAAAAGGCAAGGCGGAGGCGCAGCGCGCAGTTTTGCCCATGGAGCACTCCGGAGAGCCCCTGGGTCCCCCGGGGCAGAGCGCACTCCAGCAGCACCACGGTGTGACCCGGAGCCCAGCACAGGGAAGGGGGGCCGCACCTGGCATCAGCCCCGCCGTGGGGAACAGGTCCTTGAGCCGGGCCTGGCTCTCCTCCACCAGCGCGTGCTTGTCCATGGGCAGCTGCAGCTCGTCTATGATGATCTGCGCGGACTCCAGGGCCTTCTTGCCCATCACCAGGGACTTCACGGCCCAGGTGTACTGCTTCCCGTAGCGGCCACAGATTTCCTGGAACACCACCGAATAGAACCGCTCCGTGTCTGCAGAAACAGAGGCGAGACGATGGGGTGGAGCGGTTTCGGGTGCGTGCCACCGGAACGAACAGTCCCCGCGGATGAGCATGTATACGCCTGACCTGCCTAAGCGTGCAGACAGACCGCAGCACGCAGGGACGCCGTGCCGGCCCTCCGCGGTCAGGGTCCCGGCCAGCGCCCACCCCCCCCACCCCCCCAGGCAAGCCCTGCTGCGGGCACTGCCGTGAAGAGACGCGAGGACACACTCTTCTCTGCAGCCCCGAGCGGGGAACACACACTCCCTGCACTTGTCCCTCCCTCTCCCATGATCCTCACACCACACCGCTGATGCCACATGGGGGGATCCCCAGCCAGCATTCAGAGGCAGCGGGTGGGCGCCCGAAACTTAACGCAGTCCCAATCCTGTTGACCCGGAGAGAGCATCCGATCCCCGGGGGACGGGCTCAGCCCCCAGCCCACGCCAGCCGCAGTACAGGCTCACCGCAAACAGTACTGGACACAGTAACAGCGCTTGGGCCGCTGAGGCACAGTTCGGCGAACTACAATCAACAGCACCCCCTGTCTGCGTTCATCATGTCTCCCCTGTGCATTTGCAGGCCGAGACTACATGATTATAGCACTCTCAGGGCCAGTCTGGCCAATCGCGGCACTGGGGGCGGGGCCCGAGGGACAGGCGTGTGAGGACTGAGAGCCACGCAAGGCGCTCTCCGAGAGCACGCACTCAGTGCAGCTTCCCCCACTGATGTTTGCAAGCGGCCCACGTGGAGGTGCGAGCCACGCCCAGTTCAGAGAGCCCCGCCCATGCGGAAGTGACACACCGAGGCGAGCCAATGGTTGGTTGGTAGCCGTGTGGGCGGTCCCTGCACCACAGTGAAAGCCAATGCGCTGACGACTCCAGCCCCCGCTGCTGAAGCCTCAGGGCCCTGGAGGACGAAGCCACGTGCCCAGCTCAGGTTCTGGTTGGAATCTGTGCAGTTCGCGTGACAATGATCCGGAAAACAGCGTGGGACTTCAACGGCTTGCAGCTGCGTTTCCCTATGCGGAGACAAACATACAGTCCCGGTTCGCAACTCCTTTTTCCGTTGCGATACATATTCCTTGGGAGACCCAGCACACGGCAGAGAGGGAGAAGGAAAACGCAGGCCCGAGCAAGGCACCAACCACCGCGGCGTCGCAAGGGCAAGGGCGGCAGGCAGGCAAAGGGACAGGCCGGCGGGATGGCGTGGGGATGATCCAGGGGCTCTTGCTAACGCAAGGGGTGGGAAAGGGGAAAGGAGTGTGGGAGAAAGTGAATTCCAAAGACAGAAAAAGGAAGCTCTCTCCCTTTAAAATGCTTTAAACGGTGTTGACTGGCAGCTGAAACCATGGCAGAGTTTCTCGTGAGAAGGCAGAGCCGTGGATTAGGCGTCCTCACCAGGCAGAGCCCGCCCCCGTTCGCCACAGTGGACAGGAAATCACCCAAATCCTCATGGCACAGCCAGGGTCTAACAGCTCACTGAACAAGCCCTGAGATCCAAATGGGACTATTCCAGGCGACGACGGGCACACTGCAAATTAAAGGGGCAACATCTGCAAAGAAAACACCTCTCCAGACGCTAACACTCATGTGACGATGGAGCATGAAGCAGCTGCACCAGGTCATTGAACGCACGTGGGTCCCCGCTCAGGAGTGGCAAGCTCCATCACGCCTCTGCGGTCGTACCTCAGGGAACCCAGCATGTGTGGCACACACAACAGCCACACAGGCCCCGAGGGGTGTCTCCTGAAGAAACGCAAGGAGTCCTCTCTGCCCCAGGGGACGCGCGGCTGGGGGTCCGGGCAGTGCTGCAGGTGAGGGGGCCCCGTGAGCCTCAGAGAGAGGGAGGCACCGGGCTTGCCGGTCGTGGGAAAGGCTGGTCCTGTCCTTAGGGGCAGCACACTCTGTTCCCATGGGCAAAGGCGAAGCATTCAAGTTCATTACACTGTGCCGCACCTGGAGCAACCCACCCGCGCCGGCCTCAAAGCTGTTTCCTTCTCAGGCTCAATTAAAAAGATACATCTTTGCCACTCACCGAGAAAAGTATCGCACCGCCCTGGCACACAAACACACTTAAACACTCGGCGACTGCCTGCCCGGCCTGGCACAGGGACTAGCCCCTTCTCCCCAATTGCATGATTGAGAAACTCCTGGACACTGAAAAGTTTTCCTGTAGCAGCAAAATGTGGGTGGATTAGTATTCCCTGCACTGAGCGTGAACCCTCACCCACTTCTGTATCAGGAATATTGATGGGCTTGATTGTGCAGGACGCCCCAAAGCTCCCGGAAATTGTGGCTACCACGGAATATAGGTTCTACTTCCTCTTTAAAATAATAATTAGAAAGTATAAATAGAACCGGCTCCACGGGTTTGAGAAAAGGCACGCTGAACCGGCACTGTGATTATTGGCTTATGACGCGCTTATCTGGCGCACCTTGAACAAAGCCATTTAATGCTTTCTCTCCCAAGTTAATATGCCTTGAAAATACTCTTTTCTAATTTCCAATTACCGGGGCTGGGCAGGGTGTCTACCGGCGGCCGGTGTTCTCTGTTACCAGAGCGGAGTGCCTGGCGGGCACGGGAGCCAGTCCGGCTCCCCTGGAAGGGCCGTCATCCCGCGCTCGGCCTTGGCAGAGAAGACTCAGGGCACTGCACGCCTCCCCTCTCCTGGAAACGCAGCAGTGCTCTTACGTGCGGTGAAAACGACCCGTCTACAATGTGAAACGGCTTTAATTTAGAAAAGAAAAATCCAGCACACGCGCCATTCCGACAAAAGTGCTGGTGTCGTGAAGCGTCTAAGTCGTTTTCATAGCGTGCAGGTAACTGATGATGGCTGAAAGGATTTTTTCCCCTGCTTTTCTGGGTTTGTGTTTTTTTCAGTTGACTGCTTTTGTTCCCCCCCCCCCCCCATATGCTGCTCTGGGCTGGCGGCTGTGGAAGGCCCATTCCTGGGTGCGACGGGCTCTGCTGTCCTCGGCTGCCCGGGGTGGGGCCGGCTCCCTGGGTTCTATCCAGCCCCCGTGGGATAGAGCCGGGCGTGTGCTCCAGGGGGGCCTGGCATTCACTGGAGTTCACTCAAGTCAACTTGGAGTGGGTGGGTCCTGTGCTGCATGAGGCTGGCGAGTTTACAATATGAACCCACCTGAACCGAGGAAAGCTGAACGTGACCAGTGCCACACGGAGACTTGTCAGTACCAGTTACACTGCTCTGCAGAATGAATCCTGGAACCTAGGCTTTGCTTTCCCCTTCCCTCCGCGGCTGCCTGACCTGCCACTTCTTTTCCTGTTTCCTGCCCTCACCCCCGCAGCAGATTTATCCTCGCAAGTCTGTCATGAAGGCAAGGTTTCTTTAACACAGAGCTGGTACACAATCTATACTGCTAATGTTGGCTTCAGGTGTGCAGCATAGAGATCTGACGTTCTCTCTACCTGTCCAGGGCACCCACTAATCCGAGTAAGCACCTGTGCCCAGGGACACTGGTCACAGTGTCATAGAGGATGGTCCCTTCCCGACACCCATCCCCCACCCCTCCCACTCCTGCCCGCCCTTCCCTTTGGCCTTGTTTCCAGGAGTCTGTTTTTGTTTTGTTCTGTTTGTTCGTTGTTTTTCTGTTTTTCAGATTCCACATGCAAGTGGAACCATATGGAATCTGTCTTTCTCATTTATTTCACTTGTGAAAGCATGACTTTCTTTTCCATTGTCCCCCAAGGATCTGTTTATGGACTTTAGAGAAGACACCAGGAAGGAAGGGAGAGAGAGAGAGGCAGACAAACGTCCACGTGGAGAGAAACGTCGACCGGCGGCCTCCCGCACACGCCCTGACCTGGGACAGAGCCCACCACCTTCTCAGCACCCCGGCCGCGGCTCAGAGCAGGACTGTACACAAGAGACCTTGCCAGTGCCCTGCATTCCCGATGAGCAGAAGTCTGCCCGGTGTGGTGGCGTCACGAGAGAGGTGACGGCAACGGGACACGCGACCTAGCTGTTACAGGTGTGGCACGGGCAGGTAAGAAGCTGAAAGGACACGTACCTGGGAGTGAAAAGTGGGCACGGGTGACCAGAGCACACCAGTGACAGGATGCACGAATGGGACCATCCCTCTGTGGACGGGGGGCCGAGACGGAGAACCAGCTCCAGTCCAGGGGCTGAGCAAGGGGAGGTGGTGGGAGAGCCCGGAGGCCCGGTCAGGGGGCTGGTCCTGACTCCGAGGAAGGCCCTGCAGGCCCAGTGCAGCAGGGGGTCCTCACTGGGCGGTCCCCAGAGCCTTTCCAGTCTGAGGAAGGGCGTCACAGAACCAGCCCCCTGACCACAAAAGGGCAGCAAGGCCAGCAGGGCAGGGTCCCGAAACACCACACTGGAAGACGCGGGAGCCAGTGCAGGCAAGGCGTCTCGGGAGCCCGGGCAGGGGCCGGCTGACGTGGCTTGCCCGAAACCTGGGCTGGCCTCCGGCTTCTCCGCACTCGAGATGACATGCCGGCTGGTCAGTCACTCCTAGAAACCTCCCGGCATGCACTGCTGGCAACAGGTGGTGAGCGCCGTGCGCGGGTCCCTGGCTCTAGGCACGCAGAACACGACCGTGACCTGACCCCAGCGGTGTGCTCTGGCTCCCAGCAGCTTCCCGCACATTCCGCCAGGGTCAGCTGGCCCCGGCCGCGGTGCTCCTGCCAAAGCAACCCTCTCTGTGGACTCGGGCGAGCCTGCGTGCACCACGCGGTGCTTCCTGGCACGGAGGGACGGGCACGACTGGGGCGCGTCACTGAGCAGCGTGCCGAGTGGCAGCCCCGGAGCACTGGCTTCACGGTAGCCGCGTGCCGGCTGCGGCAGGCTCAGAGGAGAGCCTTCGGGGATCTCGGGGATCCTTCCGTGGCCGCAAGCTCGTCTGCACTCCAGACAGCAGTGCATGCGACGGCTTAAAGCAAAGATCGGAGATCGCACTGGGGCAGAGTGAGCGTCTGTGAGCTGAAACCTCTGATTAGCCTGGGTATCAGAGGCTAATGACTCACCGGTATCATCGACTGCTCTATTGAACAGGCGTGGATGCTGGTCTAAGAAGTTTTGTGGGCGCTATCGCGGCAAGGTGTAAAGAACGAGCTCCGCACTGAAAGTGCGGCTGGGCCACACGGATCTGTAGGGAACACATCTGCACACGGCGGGGAAACGAAGGCCGACCCTGCAGACCGCACACCTGAAGGGAGAACCGGAAGTCCGCGACGTGCAGGAGCCAGCCCAGCAGAGCCTGCCTGCAACTGTGCGCTGCAGGGTCTGTCCATTCGTACGACACGCGGGCACGGGCCGCCGGGGGCCTACAGGTGCAGGGGCGGGCGTGAAAGTCACACGGCCCCATCCGGAAAGCAGAGATCAGCCACGGCTGAGAGGAAACATTTGCAACACACACACTCAGGGGACTTGTATCCAGAGAGAGAACCCAGCTTCACTGCTCGATGACGAGACAAATGACCCGGTGGCAGCCCCCCCACCCGAAGAGGCTGACGCTGTCGGACCCAACACCTGTGCGTATGGGACGTTATGTGACAAAGGGGACTTTGCAGGTGGGGGTGCACAAAGGATGCTGAGGTGGGGACACTGTCCCGAAGCACCTGCGTGGCTCCCATGCAGTCACCAGGGCCTGTCTGAGAAGAATGGAAACCAGATGGCCAGACTCCAGGGGGACGAAGGTCAGGGGCAGAGGCTGAGTGAGGGGTACCCGGGAACGCCGTGGCCCCAAAGACACGGCGCCCCCGGAAGCTGGGAGAGGCAAGAAAACGAATTCTGCTCCAGTGCATCCAGAAGGAAGGCAAGTCTTTCAACACCTTTGCTGATTTTGGACCTCTGGCTTCTAAGTAAGGTAATAAACCTGTGCTGTTTCCCATGAGGGTTGTGACAGTTTGTCACAGCAGCCGTGACACACTAAATATGCTATCCAACAACAACAACAAACCCTTCGCCAAACAGTTTAGCAGTTTCTTCAAAAGTAAAGGATTCATCTAGGGCACGAGCAATCACAAGGAATGAAACTACCGGTACATGCAGTCACATGGGCGAGTTTAACGGAAACGTGCGCTCACTGAAAGAAGGGGGGGAGAGGGGACGTCCGGTGTGACCCCACCCACAGTTCTAGGAGGCTGGAGCCGACCTGCCCAGGTTCAGATGCGGAGTGGCGGGGAGCGTGGAGGAAAGAGGGCAGGGCTGCGGGGACGGGGGCACACGGAGGCTCCAGTGGGGGGAGCAGGTGTTCCCTGGAGCATGGACGTGGCCTCCCAGGCAGTTTTCCAAGGGGCTGAAACCACACCAAGTCCTTCCGCACTCAACAATGAAAGGACATGAGCAATCAGTAATGGAAGGAAATTTGGGAAATTCATAGAGAAATTAAACGACACACACCCGACTCGTCCATGGTCAAAGGAGTGACTGCAGAAGAAGTTAGAAGACGCGGTGGGATGAGTGACCACGCAAGCACGTCACAGGGGCACCCATCTGTCACGGCGGCAAAGCTGTGTGCACAGGGCAGCCGACAGCCAGGACGGCCCCTACGAGAGGTGGCCTCCCTGCACTTGGGACCCACGCCCGCAGTCCCTGCTGTGCTGTGGCAGGAGGACTCGCCCCCTCTACGCACGCTGCATCTGCAGGCTCGTGAACACAGACCACACTGCCCACAGACTCAGCCCCGCGACACACAGAGGACCGGACGCCCTGCCCAGAGGGGTGCCTCTTTCACACATCTGACCCGTCACCCCCAGGACGGTGCCACTTACCCCACGGAGTGTCAAGACTCGCCCATCCACGCCTACGCGGTGTCGGTGACAAGCAAGCTCCACACCCTCTCACGTCTAATCACGGGGCAGGTGAGCCGGAAGGCATCGCTGAGAGCAGAGCAGTCCCCGGGCTCCCGGGGGTGACGGCGGCCTGTCCACGGGAGTGGCGCGGCTCCTCGGATGGCAAGGACCCACAGGTAGGTGGCCGGGCCGGCCGGTGGGGGGAAGGGGTGGGCCGGGGAGGTTCCTTGCTGGCCGGGGACAGCACAACGGGCCTGTCCCACTGCGAGGTGGGCACAGGACAGCAGTGGGAGCGGGAAGAGGTGTCGTGTTGATCAGTGACCTCGAGGGAGCTGCAGGGTGTTCGGGTCAAGCTGTCCGACGGAGAGCGAGTCCTAAGCCTGGCAGGTGTGGGGCTGGAAGGGCTTGACCGGATGCGTCTGTGTGCACTTAGGCAAGAGGAGGATGCAGGCAACGGAGGGGCAGAGTCGGAATGCCCTGGCGGGGCGCACAGCTGTCTCCCCTTCAAAGGCCGGCCTGGCCTGTGCTCACGAGCTCGGGACCTTTCCCAGTCTCTGCTCCGGTCCCCGCTGTCCACAGCCTCTCCCTTTCCTGCCACCCTTCCCGTCTCAGCTTCCTGTACCAGGTGTCGAACCGAGTCTCAGGGGGCACACATCCTGTATGGGATCGCATCTCTGTCCCCTGGTCTGGAACCTGGGCTCATCCACCAAGCGTCTGTCCTGCTGCCTCTTCAGTGCAGGGCCGGCCCCGGACCCACGCGGCCGGGAGGCCAGGGCAGGCCTGGGCCAGAGCTCCTCCTTCCCCATGCAAACCAAAGGCTATGCAGAAGGCACTGCGTCAGGAGCACGCTCACAGACACGGTCATCAGAGGGGGAGGGGACCCAGCGACCTTCTCCGAAGACACATCTCCTGCTCACACCCACGCCTGACAGGATGGCCGAGTCTCCTTACGGTCTGGCAGGCATTTCCCTCCCCCACCTGATTTATGTTCAGTACCTGAATAGGCCGCAGCAAAGCACAGCAAGCTCTACCTTGGACGTAGCAGTGAACCCCCGAATCACTGATTTTTACCTTGGGGAAAACTTGCACACACGACATATGCAGCAGCTGTCACACAGGGGGGTTTTGGCTCGCTAGCCCGTGCCCAGTTCAGCACCGCTTTGGCAGCTGTTCTCAGTGATGACTTCCGCATGCCACGGGAGAGAGCCCCCTAGGACACTGCATTCTCAGGGCCTGCACGGTTCGCAGGCGGGGGTGGTTTATCTCCACTGGAAAAAGGGGGAGCTGGGGGAGCGCGGTTCCTCTGGGTGAATCTCACACTGTGTTCACACTACGGCCAAGTTCATGGTTGTGTCGGTCGTCATCCTCAGAACCCCCACAGGGAAAACGACCACAGGCAGACACAGGAAGAGAAAGGAGAAGAGGATGAAACACGGAGCAGGGGGAACTACGCGGTTAACAACACAGAAGGCAGCAATGCAGGAATAAACGAACAACAACAAAATTAGACATAGAGAAAACAAGAGAGAAAGCGCACATAGCACGGCCGCCTCACCAACAGTGGTATCAGAGATGGAGCTCTCCCGGGGGAGCAGGGGTGCACCCCCACCCCCGCCGTGGGCGTCCTTCAGTGAACACTACGAATGCCCTTCCTCCTCTTTACTGGTGTCCTAACGTGTTCTTGCACTTGCACTACTGGAAGAGTGCAGCGTGCCACACATCCAACACACAACGTATGTGTTCACGGACTGCCCATGTGATCAGTAGGGCTTTTTCCCACTGCAGGTATGGGGGTCGGGGCCCTAACCCCCAAGCTGTCCGAGAGTTGACTGTAAATGTTCCCACAGCCCAATGAAAAGGTAAAGCTTAGCAAGGTGGACTGAAGACAGAACATCCAGTCCGACCTCAGGGTGTGCACAACTCACCCTCTGTACTGAAGGCACAGAAAGGTTGAAAGCAGCCCTGACTGGTGGGGCTGAGGGAACCGAGCGCCGGCCTGAGAGCTGAAAGGTCGCTGGTCTGATTCCCAGTCAGGGCACATGCCTGGGCTGTGGGTCAGGTCCCCATTTGAGGGCCAGTGAGAGGCAAGTGATTGATGCTTCTGTCCCTCCCTTTTCCCCTCCCTTCTCCTCTGTCCAAAAGTAAAGAGAGACCATGTTAAAAACAGGAGAGTGTAAAGCCAAAGGCTAGAGAAGGTGACCAGGCGGACAGGAACCCGAAGAGGCCCAGCCGGGCTGTGTCACAGCAGACAGACTTCCATAGACACGTTGACCAGAGACCAAGGAGCAGCATCTCCCACTGAGGCGGAGCTCATCCCGTCCAGAGGACCAGCTCCGGGATACACATCTGTCCGACCTAACAGGGCTGGAAGCCATAACAAATACCGATGGGATGGAAGGGAGGCTCAGATGACCCACAGGGCAGAGACATCAATTCTGCCCGTTCAACAGGGGCCCGAGCAAGAGGGACAGGTAAGCAGGAAATACGAGCCTTGATCTGAGCCCCTGAAGGACTCCCGTTCCACACAGCAAGGATGTCGGGAACTGCCCACCTAGTTTCAGGAGCTCTAACCCCCCAGGGCTAAGGCTGAGTGAGAGACCTTTGAACCACAAGCCACTAAGGAGACAAAGCTCATCTCCCTGGAAAGGACACCACCTCTTCCCCCTTTACTTCACCCTGCCTGGCCCCTAATGCTTGATCGGTTAGCCAATGACAGGTAAGATTCCTCAAGGGAGGGACGACCTAAGACAGGCATGGTCATGAAGGGGCCCTCAGGCAAGGAGTTGGGGTGATGGACCCTCACCCCTCGGCTTGGACATAGCCTGAGTCCTCATTCTGTCTGGGAGGAATCTCCTAATCTCTTGGCTGCCTTACTTCCCCTGCCTGACTTAAACCTGAAACAATGCCGGAGGTGGGTTTGGCCCTGTGCTGGAAAGGGCGGGTTCCCCAGGCGATCAGGCCCGAGAAAGAATGCATAAAATCCTGTGAAACCTGCTTTGCTAAGAATGCTCTCAGTTTTCTGATAAGGGTCCGAGCAGGAAATGAGTTTGTTTCCCAAAGTTTTATGGCCCTTTAGCTAACAAAGCCTGACTCAGAATAAGCCCTCCTAGTTCTTTGTATGTGGTCTATTGTTTGATCCTTACTGCCAGACAATGACTGATGAGCTTTACCTGGATTCCTGTGCAAAATGAACCCAGTAAAAGCCCATTGAGGAACAGGCTCCTGGTCCTTCTCCTCTGAGAGATCGGCCACCTCTCCTCCCCAAGCAGATCATGTGTTGGTGGACTTATTATTATCCGTGGTGGCCAGGGGGCAGGAGGGGGTCCTGTGGGAGGAGCCCCCCCACACACACACATACACGGAGCCTTCACAGGGGTGCAGGAGTACTGCCCAGCCATAAGGAAACATACATGCTCCAGGGCACAGGAAACCGGTTTTACTGCTGAATGTACCAGGGACTGAAATCGTGCAAAGTGCT